AATAGTAGATGTTGATTAAAGATATATTGAGTATGTGCAAAAATAAATAAATGTCGCGGGCTTGAGGTTTTTATCAAACCCTTTGTTTATTACACTGATTTCATCTTAATCTGTTATTAATGATATTTTGTTCACCAAAAACATATTTTGAAATTTATTTGTTTATGGAAGAGCGTTAAGTGGGCTAAATTCGTTTTGGCTTTCTATTAGCCACAAATGCATAAGTATTGTGCTAGAAACAGTTTTTCACTATATTTGCTCTATCGCTAGTAAGCGTAAAACCAGCCCTTGAAAATGTCCTCTCACTAGAAATGCTTGAAGGTTTAATACTTAGATAATCGCGTGCCATTTTACTAATTATTGGGAATTTATGTGATAATGATTTCCAAAGTAGTATTCCTTATTTTCTTTTTTCTCATTACCATTTGTGCACTCTTCGAGAGGTTCATTTTCATATAGCTCTAACTCGTATTCAATTGTTTGTTTTCGGTTTTTTTTTTGAAATTCTTCTTTTAGAGAATAAGTAATCAGGTGTAGAATAATCATCATTGATCTCAACAGTTTCAATAATTGGCCGAATATTGTTAATAAACGGTTCTGCATCACTTTCAATATGTTTATCGACTTCAATTAATGTTGCTTTCAAGTGACTCAATTTATATCTTGGGTCAAGCAGATGATTATATTCCAATATTTTTCAAAAAATTATTTTTCATTTTATGGATCATGTTGTTACTCCAAGCTTTATTAATGTGCAGACTAATTTCTAATAATCATTATTGTATTAGAAATTGAATTTGATTGTTCTTTAGAAAGAATTAAAGTGGCCTTTTCGAATGGTTTAAGGAATTGACAGGTGGATTTAAAGGCTAGAAAGCTTTCATTGACTAAGCAGAAAGGCATTGACAGATCTTCAAACACATCTTGAAAATTGCTGAATGTAGATAAAGATATCTCTCAAACATGGCCAATGTGGAATTCCAACGCGTGTCTATTGCGGGAGTATGTTGCAAAAAATTTATTTTAGAAATTCTACAATATGCCAACATCTCTACTTAAGGGATTAGCTAAGTATTTCATAATTTTGTGGATCCGGCTTTAGAGAGCGGAGAAGTCTTTATTTATAAAGGAGTAATCACTCAGAAAGAACCTGAAAACACAAGCAAGACGAATTCGACAAGCTTTTTATAACTACACAGCCACTACTACTCGTATTTCTTTATCTATTACAAACCCTTTTTTTCATCAATACAAATAAAGCTCTCCCTTCGCATTACTGTCCAGATTAAGACTTCTCATTCTCATCAATACAAGTAAAGCCTTCCCTTCGCATTACTGTCCAGATTAAGATTTCCTCCGGCGCATTAATCGGTAACTCCATCATAACAATAGGGTTGTATTATGCAAAAATTACATTTTTACGTTACTGTAATGAAACTTTACATTAAATAGTTGGTTATCACGTGATAATTTTACAAAACTTTTTACCGGCATTACTATATATTATAAAAGTTTTGGCCAACATTATTCACATGATCAAAATTACATGAAATTCGATTTACGTAAACTTCTTAAAACTACGCCAAGTTACGGAAAAGTTTTTCCAAACCCTTCATAATAACTCTCCATCTGGCTAGCAGGATTTTGATAGTAAGTGAACGTCTGCTTATTCGTGTATTTAACAATTAAGCGTTAACGTACAACCGTATCTTTATTTCCCTTATTACCATGTCAATATGCATGATCCATTACTATAGTGTACCGATTAAAGGTTTGAATAATGATCAATTATAATTGTGTAGGGGTAAATAAGGGGATTAAAATGATGCTAAGACACAGGGGTAACACCTGAAATGTTTGTTATTGCCTGGGTGCACTTTAAAATTTGAAAATAATTCTTTTAGTTTGTACAATAGTTTATTTTTGGATTAAGACTTTTAAAATCTCTAATCGTTGCAATAGCACTAATTAAACGAAGGTCTTAAAATTCTCTTAGTACATGATATAACACAATAGATTTATTTAAGACGAAGTTTTTCTTTTATAATTCTCTAAATCGGCACGATGATATTATATTCTTAAGTGTAAAAGTTTTTAATTAACGTGATTGTAGAATTAAAGCCAAGATCTGATAATTTTCTTAGTATATACGTACGAAAAGAAAAATTATTTGAGTCGATCATGACCTAATATTATACAAAGAAGAACACCTATTTTATAAATGGCACAAAATCTGTCTCGTTTGCATAGTAATAAATAAGAGCTTACCGTTTGTCGTTTATTCTGAAAATTTTCCGAATAAAACTCATCAAACGTAAATACGAGCAAGGTTAAGACCAAAAATTGTGTTAAATTCTGAAACATTCAGAAGTAGTTTGGAAGGGGCGATATTCAGGGATGACATTTTACTATACTTTTTCTATCAGCATATAATTCTATTTACTTTTTTATTTTTCTATTGTAAATTTTTAATATTAAACTTTATTAATTAAATATTTTAAACTTATTATTTTACTAATGCTCTAACAATACATATTTAAATAATTATAAATTATTAATAAAAGATTTTTTTGATACATATAAAGATAAAAAAACTTTTTTTTATTGTGATATTATCCGAATAAATTTTTTTAACATAATCTAAATTCTAACACTGGATAATGATACGTATAGATAAATATATAACAAATAATTGGGTTTTTTATTATGCATATCATGCGAATTTTCTATTTCTACTTGATTTTGTGATAGATTTGTGTCTTTTAGGCTTCTTTAACGATAAGGTTGAGAATGTGACACATGTATCCTAAAAGAAAAAATATATATATATAAATAAATTTAAAAAATTAAAAGCTAATACAAAGGATAAACATAAACAAACTAAATAAAAAAATCAAACCTATCAATATTGTATAGCGGTGTTATCCATAGTGAGTTCGGATAGAATTTTCTTCTAACTGATGATATTTTTTCTGTTGTTTGGCCTTATTGTTGAAAATTTAAAATTATTCTGACTATTCTCCAGTTGTCACTAATCCATGATCCTGTAACAACAGTGTAATGACATTTGTGAATAGTTGAGTGCCACCTGTCACATGTTAATGAAATTGGTCGGCCAGTATATTCTTGATGAAATTGAATCTTAAATTGGATATACTTTCGGTAAGGCATCGTGATATTGTAGTCGAATGTGGGAACTTGTAATATAACAAAAATTCTAGCCTTTTTATGAAGTAAAGGATTATACCGAGGATAGGACAACCCTTTTCTGACAACAAAGTCATCTTATCGTGTATATTATTCACAATGCAACGCATTGGGTATTTTGAATTTAATAAGTTGGATTATAGAATTTGTTGATGTTCCAAGATGTATACGTCGTCGTATGTTAGCCATTTGCTACTAAAATATTTAGAAAGCAATTCAAATGCATTGAGATAAAAAGGGATAATCTTGAGGTTCGGTCATCTGATTGAAAGAAAAGAATGAAAAGAGAAATGTATAAAGATATAATTTATTTTAACTATCGTTACTTCAATCATTTATTCCAGTATCGAATTAAAAATCAACTTAAGCTGCTACATACATACGTATTAAATTCGGTGGCAATCATTTCACTTCTGGTCATTGTCGATTAGTATTAGAGTTAAGGTTAGTGTAATTTATAAAAAAAAAAAACTGTCGACAAATGAGCAATCGGTGAAATAAACTGTCGGTGAATTAATTGTCGGTGAACTGGGCTGTTGGTGAGAAATATAGTTCAAATTTAAAATCAGGACGTGCGAATTTTCGATTCGCTGATCGATGCAAATTACAAAAAGAGTATGATTTGCAAAGTATAAATATGATAAAATTTGCAGATTTGCAAAGTATATTTCTTAGCAAATATGATAAAATTATTATAGTATTTTGTTTAAAGTGTTTACTGTAAAATAGTATTTTGTTTAGAGGAGTATAATAAATTATTATAAAATAGTATTTTGTCTAGAGTATAATAAATTACCATAAAATAGTATTTTGTTTAGCGGAACATAATAAATTACTATAAAATAGTATGTTCTTTAGCAGAACAGTCTAAATGAAATTTAGTGCAAGTTTTTTTTTTAAAAAAAAAAATCGCAAGTTTTTTTTTACTAGATAAACTTTTAGAATTTATGTACAGATAAGTAAACGTATTCTTATTATTTCATTAATCACAGTAAATCAAAGTAAATCAAATAATTTATATCACAGATTCCGCAGATCCCTGTTTAGAATCAACTTAAATCACTTTTAGATTGTGGTTTGCATTTGGAATTCCAGTTTAACCTAAGTACATAGAGTCTAAATCGACAATAATTATATTTTGGTGGAGATTGAAAAATGGCATGCATCGATTAACGTTAATAATTGGCAAAGTTTAAGAATCACACATACCATTTATATATTTCTATATATCTGCATATGCAATAAGGTTTAAAACCCTAAGTGCATTGCATAAGCAACATGAGATACATTAATATATGTACTATAAAATTTTGTTAGATAATCTTATGCTTGTAACTTAATAGTGTCTGGCATGAGCATTTGCAGAACCCTAATTGTACCGTATCGTCATTAAATCACGCTCCTGGCGTTATTTTGAAACACAATTTTCAAAGTCATTCGGTAATGACTTGCTTCTCCTATACAAGGATACTTAGTTTCAGCTAACAAAAAAAAAAAAAAAAAAAAAAACAATTAAAAAAATTAGCTCAATTGTCCCAGTCACAACATAGAGGTGTATTTTTCAACTAGGCTTATAACAACTCAGTATCCAATAATGGATGTAAGCATGAATGAATAAAAACTTTCAAGAAAAACTCAATCCGACCTAAAGTTAGACACTAAGAGAGGTAATAAAATAAAAACTAAAGAAATACACGTCGACGTTATTAGCAGAAATTATTGCATGAAAACTTTGTAATAATGTAAAATAAAAAGATCTATACTGAAAAATAAGTCGTTCTAGTCTTGGATGCTCAGATAAAACCCATCATTTTACCATTACAATGAGATGGCCAATCGTAACTAGGCGTTTCATCTTGCCCCGTAGCAAAAAACCTACAAAGAAAAGAGCAAAACTTTCATATCTTTGTGGGTTAATAATATTTTCTACCACCAACCAGAATATCACATCATAATAAAGCTGAAAATAGAAAAGATCTCTATTACGTGTTTTCTAATCAACGTTTCAGATCTCTATTACGTGGTTATACAAATTATATTTAGAGCTTATTGTTTCTGAATAACTTAGCATTAAATCAGCAAATATTCGAATATTTGCCAAATGACTAATATAGTCAACTCTCTCTAAGTGCAATTCATTGGGGCCAGACTTTTTAGCAGCATACATTTAGAAAACAATTTTAAAAAATTGCATTTATAGAGACCAAACATATACTTAGGCCAGAATTTAAAGTTGCAATTAGAGAGATATTGCACTTAGAGAAGTTGCCCTTAGAAAGAGTTGACTGTATTATTGAATACTATATGTGAAACAGCCAATGAATGAACAAATTTGCTTATTCAAATAAGTTTTATTACAGTATCCGTTAGGTACTGTAATTATTTATTCGAACATTGGCCGAATACGAACGTTATTCGAATAACAAACCCGAAGCTCTAATTTCATTACAACAGGGTGAAACTCACTATTAAGATATAAAAACATGCTCAGTATTGGTCAAAAGAAAATTTTTGTTCGTGAATAGAACAATAGAGCTTTTTTCATAAAAATTTGTAATTATTTTATCAATTAAAAAAATAAAAAATTTTTTTTAAAGTAAAATTTGACCCGACCAGTTATGAGAACCAATTTATTAAGTTTGTATAGCATAATTTAATATATATAGTTTTAATATTAAAACAACAAAATAGAATATGCTAAATTTTCAATAAACCAATGGAATATCAATACAGTACCTGTTATGCCAATATAAATTTCATTCTATATAATGTAATAATAATCCAAGTAGATTTACTAGAATTTCATTAGTAACAGTTATATCCTGGGCAGTTGGGCATAAGTGGATTTTTTTGCAGTAAGTATAATCGGCTGCGTAAGCGACCGATTATACTTTACTACAAAATTTCGCTTATATCCAATTACACAGGATATAACAGATTTATCCACTGCCATCTGTCCATAATAACTTTTACGTATTTTACGCTGTTTCTGACATTTAAGATTAAATAGGATAATAATTACCTAAATTAAATAGATATATATCTATATACGTAGTAGAAATAAGTACATGAAAAAAGATACATAGATGGGGTTTGGGAATACGTAATAGATTTGATTTTTGTTATATTTGTTACAGTTTTAATAATTGCTGCGTATAATAAAACGTTTTTTAAAGATATAGCCAATAATTTTTTGTAATAATATTTATTTTAAAAAAAGTTTCACAAATATATATAATTAATAAATACGTAAAAGCAAATTTCCAAAATTATTAAAAAAAATAATAATAATAAAACAAACAAAAACATACGTAACAAACAAAAAATTATAAACAAGTAAAACCGGTAAACAAAAAATAGTTTTAGAAAGATAGTATACAAAGTACCCACGGGCACTAATCAATTTTAAAAGTCAAGGTTTTGAATAAGACCGGGATACTATAAACAGTGATATACGGTGATATTAATGAGATAATAATAATAGAAATTTGTTCTGTAATTTTATTAACGAGGATAAGATAAATTATTAATTAATTTAATAAGTCAATAATCAACTTTTAGTTCATAAATGTCCTGCATGTATTTTATTTGATTTACAAATTTCAAAATTACAAAGACAGATTTTAATTACACATCCCATAAGTTAATAAAAAATTAATGAACAAATCTTATCTATTTAAAAGATCCTCTAAAATTATCAGAATATAGGCTTGAAAAGATTAAAGTTTCCCATATTGCTGTTTCATTTACGTTTTAAATAGCCAAAACCATTCGTTAGTTTTATAGTGCACAGCATTAATTTTCTTTGAATGTAAACTATTCAAACTGAAAAAAAATTTCTATATAGAACCCTCTTATTTTATATGAAATAAAATCGTGCATATATATATATATTATGATAATTTTTTTAAATGAAAAGTTCTTTAAAAAAAAAAGTAAAAATGATTCTATATATACAATAAATTTGCCAAATCCTTATTTGTTACCGAAGAATTTATCCCATATTGACCCATCATCACCATCAATACTCTGAGTTTTCAATGGATTATTATTTACTTGTGGTGTTGCTGCTAAGTGTTGTCGCAAACGGCTTTCTAGATTGGTATTATCAGTAGATATCCTTAATTGTCTCGGTGTCGTAGTTGCTATTGGTGGTGGCATTGATGCACGCTGTGGTTGAGATGCATGCGCAGCCTCGGAACCAAAATATTGAATAGTTGTTGAAGACGGAGATATGATGGGTATCGTAGATACATCAGCCGACAACCTTCTTTCTGAATTACGAATACGTCGAAAATTAGGTGGAATATCACCATTGTCGACGCTCGCAATTCTCCGCTGATGTCCATTACTAGCCAGTATATTTACGTGTTTCGTTTTTGTGCTTACTAAACTATCGGCTCTATCACTCTTCTGATTCTTCTTGCCAGAAGTGCTGCCACCGACTCCGCCAAATAAAGAAATCACCCCATGCCTTAAAAAGGATCCAACTGATGAATCATTACTCTCTCTTCTTTTATGAACTCTTTGTGTACTTGGTGTTCTTATATATGACTCCAAATTACGATCTATATAATAATTGTCCTCAGCAAAAGTATCAATGCTACCAACAGAGACATCACGGTCGTGCAAAAAGTCTACTGACAATCGTCGACTATGATGACGTGCAGGTGTTACGGATTGAACCTCTTTTACTCCCCCAAAGACTCGACTAAGATATGCTCCAAAACCTCCATCACTACTTTGACTTTGTGCTCTTCCTCTTCTCTTGATCCGTTCGTCATCTTTTCCACCAAAAACACTTTTGCCAAATTCCTCTTCAGCTTTTCGACGATTCTCTTCAACTTTTTGCACGTAAGATACTTGAACATCATTAATTATCATACGTAATTTGCCTATCTCAGTTAAAAGATCCTGTAAAAGATGCACTAATGGCAAGAAATGTTCAGGTGAAAACATAAATAGTTCTTTTTGAATTTTATCATTCTCAGAATCATTCAAATCATTAAAAGCCATTTTTTGATTTGTTTTTATTTCATCATTATTACATAGTTCTTCTACCCATCTGAACCGTTCTCTGAAACCTTCAACATCATTCAAAATATTTTCAATCAAATTATTACTTAAATCAGTCAACTCCAAAATATCAAATGTTCTCTTTAATCTACGATTAAGGGCCATTAAATCTGTGCCCTTCATACGATCCATAATATAACTGGCAAGATTAAATAGCAATTGATAAGGATTTTGATTTGGAGGAGATTCAGAAAACTGAGGTTCCTGTTTAGATCCATCAACATCAGTAGTTATAAGTGATGGTATATTTCGATGGGTTGAAGTAGAAGCTTGACGAGAATGTGCAGATTTTGTACCGGAACCTGCCAATCCATGTTGAACTTCATTAGCAACAGCTGCAGCTTCTGCAGCAGAAAGATTAGTCTCATCCACCAAGACTTCTTCAACAAATGCTTTGACAGGAGAATTAGGCATCTCTTGCCAATTTGTTCCTTTTACAGTAGAGGAATCACTACCATTATTAACAGACGATTGATTTCCGGTGTTCACATTACTAAACCCATCATCTTCTCCAGTAGTGTTCTTTTGTTGCTGTTCTTTAGCAACACCAGCACGCCATGCCTCCATCATGATTTTACGTTCTTTTGGACCAAGAGTAGCAAATCTCGGATTTTTGAAGGCCGGTATGCTAGGTTTCATCTGTAATTCTTTGGGTTTTTGAGCTACGGCAGGTGAACTAGAAGATTGAGGAACCTCAATTGCCGTAACATTTGAAGCATTACGACGATGAACAGCCAAC